CCCTAAAACCTAAACCCACGGTCTTCTGGGTCAGGGCTTGGGGTTGAGATTTCAGACTAACAGTGCTTCGATTACAGCAACCTCACAAGAAAACACGGCACCCTGAACCCTAGAATTCCCTCCAAGTCCAAAAGCCCTAAAACCCGCCAAACACCCTAAGACTCTGCATGCCTAAACCCTAAACCCCCTAATTCAGGGCACTCGTGTTCTCTGCCGTGTGGCCGACGCTGGTGCGGAAGTCGCTTCGCTCGGCCAGCCTGAAATGTGCGAGCTCGAAGGGGTTCCTAGCATCGGTGACCTTCAAGGGACCTATAGGATTGTATAGCTGACCTTCAAGGGACCTAAAAGGAAGGGGTCCAACATGGACATATTAAAAGTTCTTTAAGGGTTTAGGTTTAGTAACCCTAAACCCTAAGCTAAACGGTTTAGGGACGATAGGTTGAGTAACCCCAAGCCCTAAACTCTAAACCCTAAACTAAACGACTTAGAGACAACAATGTTAGACACAACGGCCACCCTCGCGCGACTAAGAGGCTTCGGGTTCGGCTACTTGTAGCTTGAAACGATGTGCCTGGTTTTAGGGCTTAGGTTTTAGGGTTCAGGGTTTAGGGTTATATAGGGGCCTAAAGAATTACCTATACTATTTTTCTGGGGTTTCCTTATCATATTTATATAGTATAGGGTACCCCAAAACTCTGTTTAACTATTAAGGCCCCTACAATATGTAGGGGTTGTAGGGCTTCGGGATGTTGAGGGTCTCTAGTTCTTACTTGTGTGGGTTTAGGTTTTGGGTTGAGGGTCTTGCTGATATATCAAGGCTTGGAACAAGAACTGACAAGAAAGACGGGTTCCAGTTGCATATACATGGGTAGTTCTAAGTTAGGGTCCCTTTTAAAGTCCTTTTGACAAGGATTCTGTACTGATTTGGGGACCTAAAAGGGACCCTGGGCCCACAGTCCTGCGCCCCAGATCTGTAATATAGGGGCTTTAATTATCAGAATAGGGTTTTGGGGCCCATTATATACTATAGTTATGATAAGGAGCCCCAAAAAACCTCAACCCTAAACCCTAATTCTTAGGCCCCGATATTATTATTAAGGCTTCGGGGCTTTGAAGTCTTCGGCGCAGGAACTAAAGCATGAAACCACAGTTTAGGGTTTTGGGCTGAAACGAAAATCATGAGCACTGAGCGCTGAACCCAGATCCCATGACAAGTAAGGAACCCAAGTATCGACACCCTAAGACCCTAAAACCCGAAACCCTAAACCCCAAGCCCGAAGCCCTAAACCCTAAACCCAAACCCTCAAAACCCAAGCCCTAAGCCCTAAACCCTAAACCCTAAACCCTCAAACCCTCAAACCCTAACCCTCAAAACCCAAGCCCTAAGCCCTAAGCCCTAAACCTTCAAACCCTAGAGCCCGGAAGCCTTACGCCCTCCTAAACTCTGCAGCGCAGCGGAGCCGAAACCCTGAGCCCCTAAACCTCAAAAGCAGTGAGCCCTACCACCCAAACCTTACTGAGCCCTTTAGGGTTTAGGGTTTAGGGACGCTAAACCCGAAACCGTAAACCTAAACCTTGGTAAGCCCTGAAGGGCAAAAACCCTATACAGCCCTAAAGCCTGCAAAGCCATAAACTTTGCAACCTGAATGCCCTAACAACCATTGTGCACTAAGTAAACCCTAAACCCTAAACCCTAAACCCTAAACCCTAAACCCTAAACCCTAAACACTAAGTACTAAGTAGTTTATCAACCCCATGGGTTTTTACTAGAATCAAGACGAACCATAACTCCAAAGATCACGAAAGCCCCAAAACCCCTAACCCTGCCGAGCCCTACACCCCCAAAAAATCTGAAACTAAGTGCAGTTTAGGGTTTAGGGTCTAGGATCAGTACAGATATAAGTACCCTTAAGGGGGGGGGGGGGGGGGGGTAGAAGTACTTATCGGTAGAGTTATCTTATTTATAACCCTAGCTACTAAGCCCCCCTGTACCGCGAGCACTTGTGCCCAGGAACTCCTCGTCGAAGAGCTTCACCAAATCTTGACCTCCCAAGCAGAGAAATGCAAGGTTTAGGGATGAGGGTGGGGGTAATAATTTCGAGGCCTCAGCAAGCAATTTCGTGGTCTTAGTAAGCAGAATAAGTGTGAATATAAGTCTGTTTTTTGTTTACATGGTGGGCGTCGTGGCTGGGATTTAGGGTTACCAGTCTCCACCCGCGAACCCGACGGATGCTTAACCCTGAACGCCTTGTCGAGAGGTCGGAAGAAGCGAAGTAGTCATCGTATCCTCTGTATGCCAATGTAGAAAAGTCCACTGAAACACACCTTCCAATTCTTGCAAGGGTTCAGGGTGTAGGGACGAACAGCAAGAGAGAGAGAGAGAGAGAGACAGAGCAGAACCCTGACCCTTAAACCCTAAACTAAAAGGTTTCAGGCACCTGGCGTCTGTTCAGGGGTCAGGGGTCAGGATCAGGAGTTTACGGCGCAGAGGGAGAGCGCGAGAGAGAGAGAGATTGGTTTAGGGTTTAGGGTTTCGGGATTGATTTGAGGGCTTGATCCTACTCATACTTGGAGGATATGGAGCTGAAATTCAGGATTTTGGGGCTGACTTCAGGGTTTTGGGGCTAGGAATATACATACAGCCTATAAAGGTGCTCTCCGACAGGCGCCGCAATGATTTGAACAGGGTCTGGGGGTTCATTTTGCCACGTATACTAAGGTTTTATTGAGCTACCCTCGGGAATGTGCAATACTAATTTCGGCTTCTGAACCCGGACGGTGCACCCTAACCAAAGCTGTGAAGCAGAGCCACGCCGCATGAAGATCTGATGTGCCAGCCTGCTGACACATTTAGCTTTGGAGGTTTGGGGTTTCGGGTTCAGGGGCAGCATGGACGTCACGACACTGCAATCTAGTGGCTGCTACAAGTGGCTTCAAAGTGGTCGAAATGCAATCACCATCATCAGCATCATAGCCCAATATGCTGAGGTTATCATCTGCTGCGGCAAGGAGAAATTGCAGTAGTTCGGATGAGGGCAGCACTAGCTATCCTCGCGATTTCGTCGTCATCAAAGTCACCGTCGCATCTGCAAGATCACTTAGGGGCTGAGTACCCTAGCCCAAAAAAAGGTGAACCTTTTGACTTATAGTAGGGTTATAAGAGCCTCAAAAGGTTAAAGGTTACTACTCAGCCACTAAGATTATACTTATAGTAGTGTATACCCCAAAACCATATTCTAAGTATTAAGGCCCCTGAACCCTAGATCCTTATAGTAGCCCTTATAGAACCCTTTAAGGAACCCTCTAAAGCTGCAAGATCATGAATGTCAAGGCCCCAGCTTGAGTCTGCGGAGAGCGGGCAGCTGAGTGTCTTTTAGGGTTTAGGGTTTGGGGTTCAGGGTTTAGGGTTTAGGGTTTAGGGTTTAGGGTTTAGGGTTGTCTCAGCCCATAGGCCCCACAGTCTGCTTTGGCAGCGCAGCCGAGGTCTTCGGTTGTCCAAAAGTGCCGGAGTTCGGGCCAAGGGCTGGGAGGCTCAGGGATGCTATGCGTGGAACATCTAACTTCACAATCACAATGGGCCTCTTCGGTTTAGGGTTTAGGGTTTAGGGTTTTAGGGTTTAGGGTTTAGGGTTTAGTTTAGGGTTTAGGGTTTAGGGTTTAGGGTTTAGGGTTTAGGGTTAACATTGGAACATCTAACCTGGCAATCATTATGAGCTTCGTCGGGATTTAGGGTTCAGGGGTTCAAAACCACATGCAGCATGATTCGTAATACTTAATACTGATATGGTAATGATACCGACAGGAAAATGCTAACATGATAACCGTAATTCTTGATTGTTGTACTGATGTCTTAACTGTGATAAAGCATCAAGAACCATATACAATATGATTCTTAGCGGTGATATAGGCCTTAGAGCTGAGAATTTAAAGTTTTGTCGAAGTAGTAAAGAAGCAAGAAGAACATGAGAATGACCATCGTGATTATAGTAGAGATAACAGCAGTCCTGCCGGTGGCAAAGCTCTTGAAGACCGCGTCGGTGACCTTCCGGAGCTCTTCCAATGCCGAAGCCTGCCGACGGCAAGGCATATATGGCTAGTTCTCTAAATTAGGGTCCCGTTTAGGGTTTAGGGTTTAGGGGTGACCCTATGAAACCTTGCAATGACCCTATAGCAACCCTGCAACACCCTGCAATAACTGAACACGCCAGGACAACGTTACTCCCAACGACCCGTAGGACGGACAAAGAAAGTGTAACCCCATCACATACAAACCCCACAAACAAAGACAACATGGGCGTTAAGGGAAACAAAAGCACCATACGTATACAAAGGGACCCTGAGCGGAATCATGCTGGTAGTGTAGGGGCCTAAATAATTACCTATACTGTTTTGGGGGGTCCGAATTATAACTCTAGCAGAATGGAGCCCAGAACCCTATTCTAATTATTAAGGCCCCTACACCCTAAACCCTTACAGTAGCCTTTAAAGGAACTCCCCAAAACCCTATTCTAACTACTAAGGCCCCTAAACCCTAAACCCTTATAGTAGCCCTCATGGAACCCTTT